ATCTTTCTGATTTAGCATAGAAAACCGAGTTTTATTGCACACAGGCTACATACCGGTCGTAAGGGGCCAAGTTACATAGAATATATTTATTACAGGTCTGTAGTGTCGAATAAAAAATTTACATTGATAATGATTGCAAGTTCAAAAACATTTTGATTGCGATCCCAGCTTCCAAATCTTAGATAATTTTGATAAAAAACTCCAGTATATGCAAGCCTCATTCAATACCGCAATAGAATATAAAGAATACCAAGCGATTAATAAACCTAATGGTTTGAGTTTTTGTAAGAAATTTTGACTTTTATTATTAACAACATCGAACTCTGAACTCCCACTCCAGAGAATCAAAAATATTGATGGTGCCTGAGGCAGAGGCAAACACACATAGGTGCAAGGGGGCGATCGTCCCCTAATAATTTTGTCATATATTTAAACCCACTTTTCATCCTTCAAAATCGCAATTGTTCGGAAGGCGCGATAGTCACAGCGTAAACAAATGGTTGATAGGCTCTGATAATTTTTTCTTCCAATAATGTACACATTGGAGCTGTTGGAGTACGTTCGCCCCCATAAAAAAGTGTCAATCCCCTGCCGCAAGGTAATATGAAAATACAACTCCAGTACCAGTGAAAATATGCCAAACTTCGATTGGATAGTCGTGTGCTGATATCGCAGGTGTTTGGAAATTTAGAATTCAATCAATACAATTCATTTAGAAATCATGATAATATATGCTAAAATTGTTTTACAAAAATCTGTTTCAATTCGAATTGAACAAAAATGGAAATTTTTCTCAAAATAGGGATTTACCTAAGATAAAAATTTCTTATTAATTCAACAAAATTCTACCTGTGACCAATGTCTGTTTACAAGACTTATTGTAGCATCAGCAGCTGATTGTTTTGCTTCCAGAGATTCAATTCTCTGTTGTAATTCTCTTTCTTCTTGCTTCCTTGTTTCTAATCTTCCTGTTAATTGTTTATTTTGAAATTGAAGAACTTTAATGTCCATTTCTTCCTGCAAAATTTATATAGAAAACTTTTTCAAAAGTTTGATAAATTTAAGATCACAAACGCCCGACTAAATTCACTAACAGAAGTCAAGTCAAGTTTACTTTTTCCAACCAGTGATTGCGAATTTTCATACAGGTACGTCTCCTACATGGGAATGATTATTTGAGAGGACAGCTGGACTCCTCGCTATCTTAGGTTGGTTCAAGTCACAGTTACCTTCATTATCAAACATTCATGGAGCATTAACCAAATAAAGTATTATTATGTTTATTGAGGAATTCAATGGAAAAGGTTGGAAACCACTTTCTTATCGTCTTTCCGAACCTCGAGATCCTATCCTAGATTGCCACAACCGAGACGGCAATATATACTACGGTATGTGACACAGACATTAAATAGTAGGAATCTGTAGGATTTTCAAAATTATTATTCAGTTTTCAATAATGATAGAGAATATAATCTAAATAGTAAATTATTTTTACTTTATCTAGGGCTCGAATTAGTTTTATTGAAATTATACCAAACATAACAATATTCAACTTACCAGCGAAGATACAGCTCCCATGCTTGCTGGTGGGATAATTGTTGTTTGTCGTTTTGACTCCGGTTCATCCTCATCTTTTGTATCACTATGTCGCTTACTTGCCATGATTATTTCTGAGACTTGTTGCAGTTTTAAAAGTTTGTTGACATGATAAATTACACTTATATTATACAGAGGGTTGCTGTATAAATGAACAAGTAAATAACAATAATTCATGATTATATTGAAATGCACTGGAGGGAAAAAGTATGGACAAAAAGTACATGTTGTTTCTTAGCTAGCCTATGATTAATGATAAATTAGAATTTGATGAGATTCAAAATTAAAGGTATTGATACAGATAAGAACTGTTGGAATATGTCTTAATCAACTATATAATTTCGTTTTGTCAATAACATTGATAGCAGATTTTTTTTAATAATTGTAATTGTTAAAATGGTCATCTATTATGAATACAAATATTTTAAACTTGTAGTTCTATAAATAAAAACTTCCAAATTAGGTACATTTTGTGTTTCAAGTCTTTCAATTTGATATACAAACAATCTAATCTATATAAAACTCCAATGAACTATGAATGTTTTTAATTATGACCGCAAAACGTGTACCATAACCAAATATTGAATCATGATATACACAAAAATATTGGAGATGAAATGATAACCAGAAAATACTGAAACACCTGCTAAGGCTGCTATATATCCGTAATAACCACCTAGGAGATTATTTCTCAGATTTTATACGTTCGGAACTGTTTCGAGTTCCATTTCGAACTCTTAATAATCTTAAGATGCATCTCTTCCTTGTTATAGCATTGGAATCAACTATGCTGGCATGGAAGGTTACTAAAATTTTGGTTTCAAATCCTTTGCCCAAGAAAATTGGGTATGCAACAAATGAAAAGGGAAGATACCAGTTCTTCGGAAGTGTCAAAGTGTCATCACTAATTTGGAATTATAATATGAAAGTGTCCCCCCCCCCCCAAAAAAAAATTAATCGATGATTTGTGGCCTACCTTTAGTCAATTATTTGTAGGAAGTGTAAAAAGTATTCATCCGAAAACGTAAAGCTATTCATTTTTACACATATGAAAAAATATGTATTACCGTACTTCAATTTTTTTCAAATATTCATCTCTTATCAACACAGCTATATCAAAGTTTCAATGATAGACAGGCGTAGACCAAGAGCATAAAATAAATCTGCAAGCCAACATTAATTTTAGGAATGTTCATCTTCAAATTCATCATTATTTGAGTCAGTTTGAACAGAATTTTGAGGAATCATAGACGGGTTTGTGTTGATTCGATCCAGAAACGAACTGAGGAGTTTTTTATTCAAATGATCAGTCAGAGTGATTTCCCTCTCTTCCGAGTTATCTTCTTGTTGTTGAGTTTGCTGTTGAGAGTGACCGTTTCCATTTACTATTTCCACATCTACAGTTGTTGTCACTGGATTTGAATCTGCAGCATTCGGATCAATTCCTTTCATTTTTAATTTTAGCAATAATTTACAGTATAAACAACCTGTTAGTATGAAATTTTTATAATCAGATGAACAAGATCCAAATCAACATTGCAATACGAATTGGTGCTCCAGAGATGTGCGTACCAATATGGAGGTTACTAATTTGTTACATCAAGTTGTGTAAATGGACTGAAACCTATGGGCAGGGCCAGGGGGATGGATATATTTACTTGGCTAAAATAGACAGTCTCCGTAATGAAATTATGGCCTAACCATAACTTGGTACACACACTACAAGAGTACATAATACTGAGAAAGCACCAAGAATTTAGTTATATATATGGCTGATACATAGCACTTCAGACTATTGACACTCAACTTGCAACGTTGCAATTATAATGAAGGAAGATTTCGCAAATATTACTGTATTATAAAACTGTGTAATTTTAAGTAAAAATCACATCAGGCAAGAGTTAAAAACTGACTTTACTCAATCACAAAAAATGTACTATAGAACCAAAGGATTTGCTGGTTGATTTTTTGGTATTTCTACACTTTGGGAATTAGATCTATCAATATCATAATTATATACAGATTTTTTCAAAATTCTCATATGAAAATAACCTATCGGTACATTCAGATTAGAAATATTTTTGATTATGTATGCATTTTATAATTGACGACATAGCCTAGATATGAGTGGTTAAGCACTGCTCTTCTACTTATATTACATTCACTTCATCATAATTTTGCATATAGTCAGACTGAGCGAATATTTATCACCAATGTTCGATAACTCATGAGAAGAACCATTTGATATCAATAGGACTGTACATTGCTTATTGTTACGAAAACCTTTGAGCGCTATATCAAAATGAGTTTTTTGTACAATTACATCTAAAACAGCACAATTAAATTTGAGACCAATGACATGTAGACTAGTCACTGATTTACTGTCCAATCCTGGAGGAATTCTGGGATTTAGGACAATGTTGTCACTATAAATTCTAAGGCCTAAATATCCATACAGTATGCTTTGGAGATAACCTCCAATTCCTGTCAAAAAATTCACAGCTCCGTTTCCAGAAGGTTCTTCTGACCATATTTGATAAGGCAGCTGAATGTTATTGTACTGATGTAAAAAGTAATTATCAGCTTTCGAATGTTCACCCATTGAGTTCCAGTTAATGGAAAACATACTCCAAGTCATTGCAGGACCATCAGAAACTGTAGTATTACCATAAATAGTAAGATCATTTTTACGCGAAATTATGGAGTTATTATTGCTCATCAAAGGAAAGCCAAGCATTATTGCATCGGCTTGCTTTACTCTATCAGTTGTATGATTATAACCTGTGAATTCAGGATGATAGTCAAGCTCATCATCATATGGTATGAGCATATCTTCTATCACTTTTTTGAAATGTTCTCGTTCTGGCAGAGGCAAGTCATATTTGTCAGCAACTTGGATTGCAAAATTCATATTTTGTAATGCGACTTCATTGGTGAATGCAGAGTTATTTACTGGCGAATGATACTCATCAGGTCCCATGACATTATCGATGACAAAAGCGTTGTACTTTTCAGACCACTGTGTTCTTGAAAGCCAAAAACAGAAGTCTCATAAATAACATCCCATGGTGTCACAAACTTCTCATTGTTTCGAGAGTCTGGAATTTTTTGAAACAAAAAATCCCAATCACCTGTCAAATACACATACTGACGGAGAATATGAATTAGGTCACCAGTAACATGTTGCTCATATTTCACATATGAAATGCCGGGACAAACATCTAATCCAGTATAAGCACTTTCCCATGGATACATGGCCCCTCGAAATCCAAGATTTAATGCCTTTTCTTTTGCAGCCCATAATCTTGCAACTCTGTATTCGATTCCATGCTTCACTGCTTCAGGAAATAATGGCAGAAGGGCCGGTAGCATCCAAAAATCCTGGTCCCAAAATACATGACCCAGATAGTCCTGGTCCTTGCCACCATTTGTTAAGCCACCAGGACTTACACCAAAAAATTCGTAAGGATGTTTTGCTGACGATAATGGTGGAAAAGCACTAAGCAAATAATATAATCCAGACACTGTAGAATGCATTTGAGTAATATTGCCACTTTTAATAAGTAAAGAACCATATTCCCAAGTCTTCAACCATTCATTACAATGACTTGAAAATAAAGTCCCATTATTTGATAACTTCAATCCCAAGATGTAGAAGTCTTTTGCTTCATCTAAACTGTCAGATATACTGGTTATAAATGTGAATGAATACTTTTCCCCAACTTCTCCTTCAAGTGAAATATTTTTAGGAACATCGGTTGAACAATAGCAAACAGGTAATAATTTTCCATCTTCTTGCTCAGGTACAAGTGTGTTGCCACATACAGCAATGGCATTGCTTGCCTCAAAGTTTTTTCTATTAAAATAATTAAACTTAATATCCTGACTTTCATTGCCGGACCGTACATTGAGAGGCAAAACAACAGATCCTTTTGAATTAAAATTGATGATTATTTCAGTTATAAGAAGTCTTGTAAGAACTTTATGAGCGTAGAAGTTTTGTGAAATCGAACATAAGACATTATTTTCGTTGGTATTCTCATCAATGAAACTATATTTTTCTGAAAAGAATCCCAATTTCATATTTAACAAATACAAATTATCAGAACCAAGCTTATATACTTTTCCATTCGTTTCAAATGTTGAACTTGACTTTACAACATATGGCAAAGTGCCAGGGATGCGAGCTCGGTGTGAATTTCCTTCTCTTCCATTGTATAATCCATTTTTATAAATAGTTTCACCATAAACTCTGTATCCAACATATCCATTTGCAACAGTGGGATCAAAGCGATCTTCCTTGGCTGGCTCATGAGTCTGTATGATATAGGGATCAATCTTGTGTATATTTGATATCCAAGTGGTTGAAATAGTCTTTGCAGTTAAATCTTCTTTTATTGTTACAGAATTAAAACGACTTTCCTTTCCTGACTCACGAGTTTGTATGGTGTAAGGATCAATTTTACGTGAATCCAATACCCGAGAGGTTGTCAATTCTACAAATACATTTTCTTCCCTTTTTTCTAATTTTTGATGATAGTGTAATGCAATACTAAGGCTAGTGCAAATAACAATGCTGAAAAATAAAATTTTCAACAAATGCTTCTTCATGATCTGAGAATAACAAATTCAGGCTGTCAGGATAAGTGAGATAATCGTCACTGTAGCATAGTACCATTATACAGGTATGGCGAAGTAAATGCTGTAATTGCTCAAATAAATCTGTAACATTGATGGGGTCTCCCCAAAACCAGGCACTTGCGAATTCAGGCACTTTGATATTTTTTATTTTTACTGTACGTCATTGGGGGTTTTCAATTCACTTGACAAAATAATTAGACTTTAAATACATTTTTGCATTGCTATATTGCAATAAAACAATATTATTTCCAATTTATTAGGGTATAATTAATTTTTCAATAGTAAAATGTGGCAACAATGATCACAAAATATAGAAATCAGGCACCTATGAAATTTCAGGCACTTGGTCAAAAGCTATTTTACGATGTATCTGATTACTTTAAAGCAAAAAATTAAATATACACACTTTGTATAATTGAATTTACAACATTTTGGTGAAATACAATACCGTTTGTGACTGATGAAGACCAGGTATATATGGGCTTTGATGAAGACGAGTCATATTTCGCAAGTGCCTGATTTTTCATTTTTCACAGTTGCCATATTTTTTTAAATTCTTTGCGTCAGAACTTACTAATCATTGCTTTTTAGAGGAAATCCCGTGTTCTACAACAATTTCAGCGTTTTTAATGGTCAGCCATCGTACTTTTTCATTTATTTATTTAAAACTGGAATATGAATAATAATATATGACAACGCTAATCGCAAAATACCAAAATCAGGCAGTTGTGAAATTCCAGGCACTTCCCAAAAACGGTTTTCCCTGTGTTTTTGATTACTTTCAAATAACAAAATATACTATACACATTCTGTATGATGGAATTTGGTATTTTCATTGTCTAAAACAAGAAGAACTGTCACTGGTAGGGATGTGGCAAATTTAGCAAGAGTCTGATTTTTTGTTTTCCTAATCCAAAATCCCGGGAATGTTTCTTAGTCCTCAATGATTCCGAAACTAACTGAACTTTCAACTGCACTCAGACGATGCTCGAAAACATGCTCGAAAACATATGGACCAAAGATTAATAAGGATTACATGGAATATAAGGGTATTCTATAAATCGAGAATAGAATTCGAAAGCCAGTGAAGTCGAGTCCGGATGGCAACAGGTCGTACCACGTCAGGATTTATTCACTGTGGACCTGAGCTCATTGAGTTATATACATCTTAATGCCCGAGCCTCATATAACAGCTTTAAGATATGATATGTTCATAATACATTTTCCGTTTTTAGGTGTGTGATATTCAAAAAATTGGAGAAATTTCTGTGTACTTTATCTTTCCCACCCTGTAAACCAATTATCATTTTTGGTTCCACTTGTCTCCACGGCAAATCTCTATTGAGCAGACGGCTTTGGCGCTAAAAGCCGAAAAGGAACCAAAATTGTGGACATGCCTTAAAAAAGGAGGTCAACTTGCGCTACTTTTTTGGTTGGTATTTGGAGTTAAAATTATCAATAAACCACATACGTTAGGAGACAATATACCTAATTCTCGTGCTAGGGAATCAGACTTGAAAACTTAAGTCATGCAGACATTGGGACGTGAAGTCATGGTGTGTGAAGCTTCTATATTTGTGTGTTGAGTGTTAAACTACAAACCTCTTAGTTTTCCGTCGGAAACATTAACATCGTACACCAGTCTGAAATTCTGGCACCAGAAAGATTGGAAATATGACTTCAACTTACCGAAAATATAAATTCAGCTCTAATATCACTGAAATTATACCTATAAATAGGCTTACCATACATCCCGCTTTAGGCGGGACAGTCCCGCTTTTTAGCATCTTGTCCCGCCGTCCCGACAAGTCAGCCAAAAGTCCCGCTTTGGCGTTCAGCTAACCAGCATAATACACGAACATGTTCTCGTTACTATTGTTGCTGTGTAGCGCAACGCTAGCCTACTTACTGAAGGTGAATGCGTTATTTTGTTTGTTTCGTTCTTTCCCGCTAACATTCACTACGTTTACATGTACACGATAATCGTTTCGGCAAAAAACGTTCCCAAATCGTATTTCGGACAATCGAACGCCATAATTTGTCTCGAGTTTACATGGACACCATTGAATTTCGATCCGGTTAAAAATATCCCGCGCGTTCAGACTATCGTATTTGACATGAGATTTCGTTACCAGTTTTACGTTTTACTCCTTCTTTTGAATTCCTCGGAACAAACCGGATACAACTTTATAATTTTTATATATGTAAACATTTAACCAAGATATTGAAGGTTTTAAGTAGTCATCTTCATAACTTTAAATGCTATTTTTTAAGAAAAACATAAAAACGTTATATTTTATTTTGGTAAGTTGTTAATGTTCTTAATCTGGCATACCACTTCAGGTATCTACTTCTGCACCACGTTCCTTGAAACACCGGTAACTGCTTACAGCATAGGGCGTTGAATTTGTATTTAAAATTCTATGCAGACATTCATTGAAAAGCAATTGTTACGGTAACGTTTCTGCACTTCATAGTTAATAGAGAGAGAGAGAGAGATTTATTTTCGTCAACCAGAAAAAAAAAAAAAACACTGAGACAATAGCAACAATAAAAATGTATAGTTTTTCGGTATAGACTGGGGGGAGCGATACGACCATACGGTCATCAGAGTCAGCTCCCCCCATATTCACTGTTTTAATTATGCATATGAGAATTCTTGAAAATTGAAAAAAAAAAAATTTCTATTACAGAAGAAATACAGAAATAATACAGAAAATAATGACATCCTAAATAGATATCTAATATTGAGTTAGGTGGAATTTTTGTTCAACATGCCAGCTGATAACAAATCATGGGATATGTGCATTGGAGCTTGGAAGGAGCAGCGCCAGCGGTGTGGAAAACAGTTACAGAAAAGATTTGGAGAAGATTGAGAACCACTTCTGAAAATCATGATCACGAAAATTGGTCACGTCTGGGAAAATTTCACTTAGCAACTTATGCAAAAAATAAATAAAACTTTCACATTGTCAACGTCAAGTACATTCAAAAACCTAATGATGAACTTTTATGATGACAATTGGGAGAAAAGCTTTCATTGAAAGGCATGTGTTGGCAAGAAGAAAATTTATACACATCTGAGGAATGTTGGACTTGATAATGCGGAAGACTGAGTGCCCCCTATTATATATTCATAGGACATATATTTATAGGGAATGTCATAACTCGAACTATATCTATGTTTGCTGACTTAATGCTATGAGAAATATTTTTTGCTAATAAAAACTTGAGCCTTTGGGTGATGTATACAAGTCAGTCAAATTACTGTTCGTAGGGTCCGCATTGATAAAAATAGATTTGAGAGGAGTACTGGGAATAAAAATAATTACACTCCATCCTGGATCTAGTATAGTTGGGGCGTTCAAGAGGTTTTCAGCATGGTCATTATCAATGTAAATGTACCAATGCGGTGATCAAACTGACCTAATCACAATGAAGTATAGGAGGGAAATTTGTAAATATTAAAGCTCAATAAAGGCACTCAAAAGATCTCATTTATATAAATACAATATTCAAAAGAAATAATATAACAGTAATCAAACATATAGGATAATTCCTATATCATTTGGATAATTATGAAAGTGATGGACAACTAAGACAAGTACAGTATGATTAACGAATTAAACGGGTTAATAAATAGTTGATGGTTGAATAGAACAACATTGCACGCTATAAAGAAATATCAGGTTAGGAAAAACATGTCATTTAAGATTGCACACTGCAGGTTTAATTATATTTTAAATATTGCATAAACAGGTTGCATGAGTTCATTAAATTTTTAAGGTGGGGTCTTCTTATAGGCCATATTAACCCATGCATACTATAAGTAACAAGGAATTGTCACTGTATAATTTCAGTACCCATGTGACGAAGGAAGTGTGCATAATATTTTAGCAGTAGTATAGAGAGCACAGTAAATATAAATATAAATTGGTACAACATGAATAAATCACAAAAAATGAGATAATCAATAAAAACAGATTAGTGGTGTCATAATGTACAATACAGAATGAGTATGGGAGGAAAATTTGCAAAGATTGTAACAAAAAGAATGCATTCAATGGAACTCATCAATGTAAATAACAAAACATATATCAGAAATTTCCTAGTACAGTATGAGTTGTATTTGTTTCCAAATATTGGCATAGAGGGTAATAAATTAACCATGGTGCTATACAACTTATGACCCACAACAAATTAAGGGCATCCACAATTTATGGTATCCACAGAAATATAGAACATATATGATAAATCCCCTAGTACAGTATGAGTTATATTTGTTTCCAAATATTGACATAGAGGGTAATAAATTAATCTTGGTGCTAGACAACATATGAGTTCTGACCCTCTAAAAATCAAGGACAGCATCAATTTATGGTATCCACAGGAACATATTATGATTAAATAGGTTAATAACAGTTGATGAAACAGCAAAGCAAAAATGCACACTATAATAGAACAGTTCAGGCAAATTGTGTTATTTAGGGCTACACACTATGACAAACAAACAGCAATTGATTCATAAAATAGTTGAGGGTTAGGTCTAATTGGCCATAAAACCAAATGCGGACTGTTGGTAATAATGCACAGAGTGTTTATTTCCAGACCCTTATGTTGCAAGAAAGGGTACACATATGTTAACAATAGTATATAGAGTACAGTAAAGATATATATATATATATTTATACAGCATAAGTAAGAATACTCAAATGATGGGGGTTGTTATTGAAAATGGAATTATGGTGACAATAATGTACAAATACAGAACAAGTATGAAACAAAAATTGCAAAGAGAAAGGCTCAAAGGAGGCTCTTGATGGAACTCAATTAAGTAAATGTAGTGTTTAGGGGAAATAATACAACAGTAACAGAACATTTATAAATGATTATTCCACATAATAATAACTATGCAAATGAAAAGCACGTATAGTATGAGCTATAATGGTTTCCAAATAATGGCATGGTGGGTAATAAATTGACCTAAGG